TTTTAAAGTTTAAGTTTAATTGATTTTTTTTTTAATTATATCTATTCAATAGGCGTTTTTTTATATCAGTTATTTACTTATCTTTTTATAAAACAAAATAATAGAGTTTAAAAATGAGATATATTAAATAAAAAATTTAAATCTAAATATTTCTTAATTCATATACGTTAATCTTAATAACTAAAACTTAACTTTTGGAATAGAAAGAATAAAATTTAACTCTTAAGACAAATTAATTATCATGTATGTTAATAACATTGATAAGAACTAAAAAGATTAAAAAGCTACAAATATTAAATTAAAAAATTTATCGTAAATTATAAAAACTAAAAATAATTAAAAAATATATACTTTAAACTAAAAGAACTAAAAGAAAGAATAAGTAAAATTATATGATTTTAAAAAAATTCTTTTAACCTTTAAAAAATTATATGTACTTCTACGTCTTATATTTATAAACGAGTTAATCTTATATTTGTATTATCTTTTGAGTTTTTTCCTAATGGGTCGTGTGCATATTTAAGTGTAGTTTGATTTTAAAAAGTCCAACGCAAGCAAATTTTGTAACCACATGCTGACACGAAACGAATCTTCTGACTAATTTAATGCATTTAAATCATTGAATTTATAATAATAAATCAAATTGTAACGTATATACATTTAAGTTAAAATATTTATTATACACATATCATAATCTATTTTTATAAATTTAATGATTTAAATACATTAAATTATTATAATTTTTATGTTTTAAAGTTAGAAAATTTGAATTCAACTCATCATCACCCCTACCTTGATCAACAGTAATTCAGGTGTTATGTATGATATTTTGGCTTAAAAGGCATCTCTATGTTTATTTTCTTAGAAGTTATGCTCACCCTTTCAAGTCATTTTGAGAAGAGAAAAAAAGTATAAAAGAGAACAAATTTTAATTGTTTATATTAGAAGAAGAGGAAAAAAGTAGGACCTATAATAAAAATAATATCTTCATGAAGGAAGAGATTTTGTAAAATATATACAAAAATTGTGGGATTTGTTAAAAAATAGTATTTTGATCTACTTTTATCTTGTTTTCTTTTTCAATTTCAACACTCTAAAAATGTACCTATTTTTATTCATTCTCTCTTTTCTCATACTCCTTAATTTCTTTTATATTTCTCTTGTCACCCCTCAATGTTGTTTTATTCCTTGAGGCATACGTACGTTACAGGGGTCCAGTTTATTCTTTCTTCCTTTGCAGTTCCTTTCTTTTTATTTCCATACTGTACAAAAGAGAAAGGATATATCCGGAAAACCAAAATAAATAAATAAATAAATAAATAAGGAAGGTTTCCTTTATGACGTGATTCTACCCTAAAGAAGCACAAGTGGCCGTGTTTCTATCTAGCAATTAAACATTTTAAGAGATTGATTCAAACGCATACGGGGAATAAAGTATTATTTTGCTATTTTGAATTATTATTATTATTTTTTTATAATTCAAAGATATGTCTCAAAATAAAAAATAAAATAAAAAAAAGAAATAACATATGGTAATGTTTGGACGTACTAATGAGTAAGGTATAGGTAGTGCGGACCATACCCTGATTTGCGGCTTTACTTTGATGTTTGTGGTAATGGCTGAAGCTGAATGAAGAGAAATAAATATGTGATAGTTCAGAATTGGCCGGTGGTGCTGCTGCTGGTGCTGCACTCTTCCCAACATTATCATTATCAATTCAACTCTCCTGCTTCACCTCTTCCTTTCCTTCCACACCACTCACTCACACTTCATCTCTAATCATTACTCCCACTCTAATGAATTAATATTTTATTAAAATAATAATAATAATAATTTTAATGATTATTGTACCAGAAAATATAAGACAATTACATATCACAATACATGACATGACTATCACTCCGACATTAACTGTTTGACTATGCTGTCTTGGTCATACTGACAATTAAGATGGCCGAATGACCACATATCGTGATGTCTTGACTCCTTTAACCACTTGGTCACAATTATGATCATCAAATCAACCAAATCATCACTAATCTTATTTCTCTCTCTAAATTTTATTTGTTGTTCGACTTAGTCATAATGAAATGAAAGTTTAAGGGTTGTAATTGTTTGAGATGAATATTTTTATGAGTTCTTTTAAAATGTAATAATATTGAGTACATTTTTTTTTTCTAAACTGAGTAAAAAGGTGAACATTTAAAATTTTCTAATGTAAAATTTATTATTTGAATTCTTTTTTCATGTTTATTACTACCTCCTGTTCTTTCCGTAAGAAATAAATTACGGTATATTTCTTATAAAAAGAACCAAAATAGTATTATATATACAAGTGAATCTCATAGAAGAAAAATTTATTAGGAGAGCATCTGGTGTCCTAAAATTTATTGTTATGAAGATGAAGAAGAGGTAAAAGAAAAAGGTTGATAGAAGAGATGATTGTGTTGAGCATGATTCGAATATGTATTAATAAAATAAGGAGGGTAGGTGTGGGTGGGTGATGTTTTCACTTCAGTTATATATGGTCGGAAAGTGAGTACGAATGAAAAAGAAAAACCGAATACGAATTCATCCTCTTCATTTACTCGTAGAATCTTCTGTTCCACAACTTGCCACGTGTTCGGAGATGTGAGCATGAAAAATATGAATTTCATTTTAACCTTTTTGGGTGCAGTCTTGTCTATGTTCACTTCATCCACCATCTTTCCACTTTTGAACACAACTGCTGCTTCATTCAATTCCATTACATGCAACATATTTTCAGAGAAATCAACACAACCCCAGATGCTCTTCTAAGATATGCAATGTTCATGGAGATATATAGGTTTGAAAGTTTTTTATGTCGCGCCATATTTTTTACAATTTCCTCTTCAACCCCATGCTTCAACTAATGTCCACAGTAGTTTTTTCTTTTCTTTTCTTCTTGTTGGTCCTCTTTACAATAAAATAAAAAAGTTATAGATGGATTTTTCTTTACTACATTAATATTTCAAACAATAATATTTGTACACATGATCAGTGAAAAACTACAAAGGGTTGTTAACTATCTTGGGAGAGATTACATCCGGTAAAAAAGTCTTGATGGTTCATGTTAGCTCCATATGAGTTGAAATGCACCATTGTCCATTGTAATTGGGTGACTTTGAAAAGTTATAAAGAGATATCTTACTGGTTGAATGTGGATGGGTGTCTATTAGGATCTTCAAGAAAGGCTGGTATTGGAGGTTTATGTCGTGACCATAATGGTAGCTTCAAACTAGCTAGGTTAATTTCTTTGGCACTATAGAAAAAAACTCAATCCTCTTCGTATAGATACTTGCACTTCTTCAAGGATTGAACTTTGTTGGGATGCTAGCCTCAGACATCTCACCTACAACTCAGATTCTTTGATGGTAGTGGAGCTGGTTAATAGAGTTTGATGCCAACCATTTCCATTTAAACAAACAACTCATTATTCGTAGACTACTGAGACGCGACTCATCGTGCGAGTTGTGACATACTCTACATGAAGGGATTCAAGCCGTTGAGATTTTAATTGCTTCACTCCCTTTATTCTTTTTACAACCATTTTCATTTGTATACTTTTTTTTTTCATACTTCACACTCCTAACATCTATTCCACAACTTCTCCTATATTTTTCTTATCAATGAATGATTTGTTATATAATAAAAAAAACTAAACATTTTAAGAAATATATATTTTATATTCAAAATTCAAATATTACTCTTCTTTATCATTTGAATATTCAATTTCATATTCATTTTAATACTTTTAATTTCTTATTACTTTAAATATATAATTTTAATATTTTTTAAAAAAGAATATCAATAAATAATAAAAAGTAATTTTGTATCATAATATAATTTTTTATTATAGATCAAAATTGTTTATTTATTATAAATTTTAATTACATAAATAAATAATTATTAATAGTAGTGTCAATAAAATCACAGTCAAAATAATTACAATTAATGTTTAAACCAATTATTAATAGTAGTGTCAATAAAATAGGTGTCTTACTATGTAGCAAAAACAAATGTGTCTTGTAAATGGGCCATATCTATTAATTGGGTTTGACAGCCATAGAGGCCCATATAAGCAAAAACGAGAGCCCCTTTATAAGGATAACACTGGTGCTACTTATCGTAATGTTGTGTTTCTCAGATTTTCTTTCTGTGCGAATAGTTCTTCGATTCTTGTCTATTGTACGTTTTTATCTCTGAAACTTTCAATATTTTTGTAAAATAGCAAGTTCAGCTTCTTGGTTGGACCTTGATGCTTCTACGGTTCCGTCAATCTTTTTCTTAAACTTGCAACATCAAAATTTGCAGTATCACTCGTCTGAATTTGATTTTCCCGTGATATTTCAGGCCCTTTATCACTGCAACATCTTACTCTTTCTTCTTTCTTCTTTTTAATTTGAGCAAACATACTCTGTCCTAATGTTTTGAGCAATTGTTCTTGAATGTTCAAGAACGTACGATGTCGTACAGACCTGGAATATTGATTTTGATGTTTAGGGTTTAGAGATTTTCTCCCTAATCAGATTTGCAATTGTATGGTGCCTCTCTCCCCAAATTTTGATGGTGTAATTCTCACAGCTTACAATTATATTGTGAAAATGAACCAACCTAGCAGGGGTAGTATTTTCTCAAATATCTGAACTGGAAGGGACATGAAAGTGGTGGGTAATGTGCTTCCATCTAAGCAATTTTCTCATTAGACAGTTCTGATTGTGTAAACTTACATACAGCACTTGTCTTTACATAAAAGAATTTATACTTTTTTAAAAGAATACAACTTTTCATTCCTGCACCGTTTTATGAATAAATACTTATCTTCATAAAAAGATGCAACATTTTCATCATTTTAAAAATCTCTCACAAATTAATAGTGCATTAATACCATTTTTAATAAATAAAAAAATTTCTTTTTCTCAAGACATTGGTTAGCTTTCACGTTAAGGATGATCAGAAAACCAAAAGCTAGAAGAAATTAAGAAAGAAATATTGTAGCAACTATTATAGCACATTTCTAAAGTTACAAAAGCAACACAGTTGTGATATACATAATGCAACCTGAATCTTCCCCTGTTCAAATATGTAGCCTGTGACAGACCCCTCATTCGTTTCCTTTCTTTTCTGTTGTACATCCAGCATTGTTTAAACACAGACCCTTTTAGGTACTTATACATCTTTCAAAAGTACATTAAAGTACACATATGTATATATTATATTGTATGTCATATAAAACTACAGGATTTCAAAATTGACTCTCCAGCTCTGCTTATCTTGCTCTGGAAAGCTGTATGGCTTCTTGATCAAGAGTGGTTTCATCATTCCAAACAAATTGGTGAGTCATGAGTGAGAGTTCTTGATTCCTAGCCTCTTCAAGTTGCTGCCAATCAGCCCATCTATCTGCCAAGCCCACTCCCTGCAGCATTTTTACCACCTCTGACATCGTTGGACGATCCTCAGGAAAGCCTTGGGTGCAAAGCAATGCAACCTGAAGAATGGTCTCAACTTCCTTTGGATCATAACTCTTCAAGTTTCTATCCACAATGTCCTGCAACCTCTTTTCTCTCAGCAGATTTTTTACCTGTTTAAACAAGCTTCATTAATATAATAGTACAAGGTGAAAATATATTACAAGTTTGTAACTTTGAAGCAATATCTGTGTAAATACTTTTATCTTGCTAACCAATTAGAATTCATGTGAAATATGACTTTGATATAGTTATTATAAAGGTCAACAAACTTAGTACACATGATTGGATAATAGTGTAAAAAGCTTTTATAAGGGTTAGTGCACTTTGATTAAATTCATATATTATTTATAGGGGTTGGATCAAGAAAGGACTAAACATTAGAACAAGCTCATAACAGCAAGGCAATAACACATCCTTGTATCACCAGTAAGCAGCATTTATGTGACATGATTAAGTAATTGGTGAAACAGATTACATGATCGATCAGAAGAACATCCTCGTCTTCTTCGAGCCGAGAAAGGTCTATTGCACGCTCACCAGAGACTAGTTCAAGAAGCGTTATGCCATATCCGAAAACATCAGTCTTTTCTGAAGATTTTCCAGTGGACAAATACTCTGGGGCAATGTGACCCATTGTGCCCCTCACTTGAGTGGTGACATGAGTCATCCTTGCATCAACCAGCTTGGCTAGACCAAAGTCACCTAGAACAGCTTCAAATTCATCATCTAGAAGGATATTTGCAGCCTTTAGATCACGATGTATTATCTTAGGATTGCATTGTTCATGTAGATACTCCAAACCATGTGCAGTGCCAAAAGCCACGCGTTTCCTTGTTGGCCAGTCCAAGCCTTTCTCACCAGGTTTTAAATCTAAGGCAGCAGAGAGAAATAGTGTTAAACAATAAGCACAAAGCTTGGAAAGGGATGGATCAGATAACAAATTCCTTTATTTCTCTTATTTTCAGTATGGACTAATGATATTTGTTCATCTTGGACAAAACTTAGATACAGTATTATATATATTGTTAGGACTGATCTCCAATTCAAATTCAAGTTTTATCTTGATAATATGCATTGACATTTAATGAAAATCATTTATTACATATATTTATGGTGATGAAACTTTAGTTCCAATTTGAGAAACATATATGATACTCTATGAGTACTCCATATTTTGTTGTCAATATTTTCACATGCTCAAGACTGAAACTTAAGTTTGAATTTGAAGCATGGTGAAAATGATAAAAACAGCAATCTAGTTTTAGTTTTACCTCTGAGTCGATATGCTACACTAAGATTTTCCATGAAAGGGTATACAAGGATTTTTTCAGTTGTGGTTGTGCAGAAGCCAATTAGTCTTAGGAGGTTTCTATGAACTGCAACGCTTATAAGTTGAACTTCTCTCTCGAATGCAGCCTCTCCACCAGGATTATGATAATCAAGAAGGCGTTTTACAGCGACCTTTGTGTTATCAGAGAGTACTCCTTTGTACACTTTTCCAAAACCACCCTGACCAATTACATTGCTTTCACTGAAATTTTTAGTGGCAAGTTGGAGTTCACGCCAAGAAAATTTTCTCAACTGCCCAAAAGAAACTTTGGTATCGTCTTCACCTGTAGAATTAACTTATCAGATATTACTATTACTTTTCTATGGTGTAAGGAATATGAATTAGCCCACCCTGGTTGTCTACAGAAATCAAAAGGAAAATGAGAAAAATTTGAAATTTATATTGAATAGAAAATCAAATTAAAGAAAAATTATTATTATTATTTAATTTTTTTTCATTTCCCCTTTATTTTATTTTCAACTAAATAAAAGATAATATATCACTATTCGTGTTTTTTTTTTCTATTTCCTTTCATCCCATTTAAATGTAGTATGAAACTCTTAAAATATCTATAAAGGAAGGATGCAAATGAATTATTATATTTCTAAGTATGTATTTGGATTTGCGGATGAAAATTTGATTTTCATCTTTACCAGCATTGACCAAAATCAATTTCTTCAAAACGCAGAAGTAATCTTTACTAGTATCGGCTAAAATTGATTTTCATCTATAGAATCATGTAAAAATAAAGAATTCCAAACATACATAAAAATGAAGAATCACGTTTTAGAAGGAAAAAGTGTGAGTTGTCTTACCAGAACGTGTATCCAAACACATGCTAAGTCTATGATTATGTACTTGTATTTACGTGTAAGGTTGATTCTGATTTTGTATGGAATTATGCTTTATCTTAATACAAACGTAATTGTAACAAAAAAAAAAAAATTCTATGTGCAAAACTTTCCGTATCCTATTCTTATAAATTGAATACACTTTTAGAGGATAAACTAAATAATATTAGCTTTAAATAATTTTTTGATACATGTTAGCTTTTAATTAATATGAAAATTAACAAACAACATTTCCTCTCCCTCTATATATAATAAATCATAAATGTAACTATTAATTTACTTTCTTTGTTTATTTTTGTGGATCTTTGTTTCTTTGTTCTCATTATAAGAGAAAGTTAGGATATTCTAGTTTAATTGCTTCCCTTTTATTTTTTATTTTAAAAATTTAGGCTACAAATAGTAAAAGTAACTTTTTTATTTTCACTTTTAATAATGAAAATATCATTTTATTTTATTTTTAAAAAATTATACAGAAAACAACAAAAACTCCTTATTTAAAGCGTAAAACATTTTCACTGATGCTTATACAAACTTTTAAAATTAGAAATTAAAATAAAATAAGCTGTCATTATTATAATTAAAATAAAAATAGAAAATGTGTTTTTTTTATCAAACGACTCTTATTTTCATCATTTTATAGATAAATATTTATAAAAAATAAAAAATAAAAAAAAGGAAAAAAAGCAAGATATCATTTTTTGAATTATCTGGCAAAACAAAAAATGAAATGAGAATTCATTTTCTCAAAAGGGAACATTTCCTTATTTCCAACTAGGCATTGATAAGTTATGGTGAGGCAAAAGGGTGTTGAAAAGAAAGGAAAAATTACCTGAAACATCAACAAAGATTTCCCTTGTGCGCCTAAGCATTTGATGGTATCCATACGTAAGGATAGCCCCAAGACACAGAAGTGCAAAAGCACCACAACTTGCATAACGTACAATTTTTGCCATTTTTGATTTGTGGGATGAATCTACAATAAGAGATAAAGTTTAGGTACGTACTAGCTTACTAGCTAACCTTTTTTATTCATAGTTCATATTCTTCAACTTTAATTACATTTTCTTTCACATGTATCAAAAACCTATGACAGATTCTTTTTGTCTGTGTTAAACAATCAAACCTGGATTTTCAGATTTAAAATCACAAGGTTGATCGAAGCCAGGGCCACATTTAAGATGCGTATCTGAAAAGCTGAAAGCAATCATGGAAACGAAATTTCATTAGTTAAGAGCATACAGAAAAATGTTTGTTATTAAAAGAACATACGCAAATGAATATGAAGTTGTAATAAAATTTAGGGAAAATTTACTTAAACATTGGAATTGAAAAGAGTTGCATTGGGATACTTCCAGTAAGATCATTGGATGAAAGATCCCTGTCAAATGAAAAAAACAAACCAATTATATTATCCAATGAAGTATGGAGCAACTAAAGTCATAAAAACAAAATAGTCTCAAGAATACAATTTTTTGTAGTTTTGCTGACCCTTTAATTGTTCACACATACAAGGATGGAAGACCAGAGAAATGGAAAGTGATGCCTTACAGTTGCTTTAGATTGGATAGTTGACCCCATTTAGCTGGTATAGGACCGCTAAAATTATTGTCAGCAAGATTTAGATATTGTAGGTTTGTCATGTTTGAAATGTAATCAGGCAAGGATCCTGAAAGATTGTTATTGTGCAAATCCCTGCATGAAAAGTGTAATTAAGACAAATCATGCAAGGAAAACATAAGAGATAGTTTGTCTTACAAATTGAGGATGAATTCGTAATTACATAAATTATTCTCAGTAAAATGATGAGCATGACTTTTAAAAGTTTTCAACAGAGAATGAGAGAGTCCAACATGCAATTATGCATTGTAGATTTACAAAAGTAAAATTAAACACTACCTTAATTTTCATGGCATCATACTCCTAATAATTCTAGGAAATTTTACTTAGGATAAATGAAGATGGTCTGATTATCTGGATTTAGTATAGTAGCAATAGAAGCAAATCTTATAAATGTCAACTTACAAGCTAACCAAATATTTCAATTTGGTAATAGAGGGAGAGAGTGTTCCAGAAAATCCAACTGAAGCTAAGGACCTGTAGATTGATCAGAATTGACAAGCTAAATTACTACAAATCTTAGAAATCTACAGTGAGACATAAAAATGATAGACAAGGACGAAAAGACTAGATTAAGAATATTGTAATGAGAAGTATTTTGTATTTTCTATGAGGATGAACTTACACAGATATGACATGCTGGTCTCTGCAAGTAACACGAGACCAACTGAAGCAAGGGCTCACTAAATGACTGTCCCAGTCTCTTATTTGCTTATTGGAATCATTGAGGAAATGCAAAAAATCGAGCAGAGCTTCACCTGGATATTTGCCTTGATAGTTAGTTCAGAATTATTCAATTAAGAGTGCCAAAGTAGTTAATTCAGAAATATACAGTTATGCACAAAGAAGAGAATACCTTGGTCAAAAATTGGTCTATGGAAATTGGAAATAATTTAGTAAAAATACTGGAACTCAAGCGGAAAACAATATTTTACCACACCTTCTATATCAGGATTGTTGATAGCAGAACTGAGTTTGAAGATAGTAAGGAATATGAGCCACCTCGTCAATATTTTGAGAGGACCCCTGCTAAAATTTGGGCGAAACATATAAACTTTTTTGATCTTCAAGGAAACTCACCTGGTTGAATCCCTTTTCACGGGGAAAAAATCACCAACAAAAACAGTTTAATAACATTTTAACATAAATAACAATAAAATTAAGCAGCAAAAAAAAAGTCCAGATACATATAGATGTTTTGCTCCAAAATCCAAATAGTAACACTATATATATATAGCCAGCAGGATATAAAGTCTACAACAGCAACTCCTTGTTTTCAAAGATGAATGCGAGAGAGAAAAAGCAACATATGACATAAAAGCTTAAGAAACCAATATAGAAACATAGAACATTTGTTCATCAAAAGCATGGTAGTTACACAGAGGGACACAGTTGCAAGGGGCCTGAATATGGAATTTAGTAGGGTGATGAATTAGATTAGAAAACCAAGATGTGTCCAAAAACATAAAAGAAGAAATATAAAAACAAACCAAAATAACCCTGCACCTAGACTAATATTAGTCCATGAATTTTCAAAGTCAATCATTGATATACGTATTTTCACAACATCACATGCATGTTGATGTTTGTCTTTTATTTATGTAACAAGAAGCTAGCAAGTGTTTCTACGAAGTTAATTGACAAAGGGGAAAAATGAGGAGGGAGAAAAAAAAAAAGACATACTAGTTTAGCGAGCTTGAACATTGGAAGGAGAGAAGCAGTTGAAGAAGGAAAAGTTTAATGTGATGAATGTGATGATCAAGTGGAAGGGGCCCACGTGGCATTGAGCAATAGGAGTGAAAAGGGAAACAGCGATGACTCCTTACATTGAATTGAAAAATGTATGCAGGAAATTGATAGTGTGAGTGGTGGGAAGAGAATGAGAATCCCACTAAACAAGGATTTTCACTTTGTTGATAATAATCGCGTTTGTGATCCCTTTTAATACAAATTGACGTTAAATGCTCCAACTCCAAAGCATATATCTCATTCCCACACAATGTGGCACTAAAAATGATTTGATTATATATTCTCGTGTTCCGTGACAGTGGCTCTTCAATTGTTTTTTTAAAGGCAAAGGAGCACTTTAGATTTTAAAAGGTGGCATTAATTAGGGAAAATTGGTGGACCGTGGAAAACTCGTTGCTAAAGTGTCTTAAGAAGGATAAGGAAAGGAGGTGTGGATAATGATGGGATCACCTGTGCAGCACGTATGAAATGTTATGCTGTAGTGGGATTCTGACACTTGTAATGTGCAAAGTGGTTGACCTGCCAGTCAACTTTGTGGCCACTGCCTGAAATGTTTTTTTTATTGACATTAATCGTTATTTTTTATAATAAATGCTTTTTTATTAATATTATAATTATTAAAATAAGAATATAAATATTATTAATATTATTCCCTTATAAGAATTAAAGTTTCATCACCACCATGAATTAGTTATCGAAGCGTATGTTAAATGTAACATCGTGTTACTGAAATTCTGATTAAAAAAACATCATCATTAATACAGCAATACTGTACCTATGGACGTGTTGGATATTTCGACGACAATCAGGAACGAGAGGCAAGGAAGGATCAGCTAACTGCTACTGAGAAAGAAGATATATCATTTAGATTTGTACTTTGTTTGGATTGAAAAATCCAAAAGGCCAAAATTCTCACGTGTTCACTTACTTTTTTTTTTCTTTTCCTTTCTTTGTGTTTTATGGAAACGTTATGTATGTTTTGAAGAATATAAAGGGGGTTAATTACAACAATATCCTGATTTAAGTGGTGTTTATTTCTTTTTTCCTTAAAAGAAAAGACTGGATCATATATATATTTAAAGAAAAGCTCTTAAAGACCTAAAGATCTTGATCTTATGAAAAGAAAAAGAAGAAAAACAACTTTTAAAAAAATTAACTAAAAGTCACTTTTGAAATAAGTTGTATATATGCTTAGTGTCTTTCTCTTTCTCATCCTAACATTTCAACTTTTCTATAACAGGAATAATATATTAAGTTGATTCGTACATAATAGGAAAAAAGCTTTCATAATTAAAACATTGTTGAAAGCAAGAATAGTCACACGGATTTAATTTGAAATATATTTATATTCAATCTTATAACTTTAATTAGACTGGATTTCCTCGGTTGGTTTATTATTCAATTTCTAATTTTATCTGATTTCGCCTAATTATATTTAGTTTGATTTGATTTAGATAAGTTTATTGAATTTATTGTTAATATATAAAAAAATTAAAAATATTATATTCGATAATTTATAATATATTTTGTCATGTCATTCACTAATAAAATGTTTAATATTATTAATTTATTTGTTGATAATTAAATATTATAGAATATCCAAAAATTGTCAAATTTTAATAACATTACAGACTCAAAATAAAATCTCCAAATCTGCCATGTTACAACATTACAAACTTAAAAACAAGATTTTTCATTAAGTCAATATTACAAAACAAGTCATTCAAGGATTCTCAGGTATTGAAAGTTTTAATTTACACTGATAACAATAATAATAAATAATAAAATATTTATTTAATTGGATGGATTAATTTCGTTCAATTCTTAGAAATCAAAATTTGATATTCGACTCAAACTGACTGAATTTCAAATTTTCAAATCTAAACTAATTAGAGATAGTTTGAAGTTTTAACCAATTTGAATTTTTTTCTTTCAATTTCCTGGGATCGTCAGATTGATTTGGATTCATGCTCACTCTTATAGTTCAAAGTAACTGATCAATTAAACAAAATCAAACATCATAACAATATAGGAGAAATCTACTTACATTGATAATACAGTACTACAAGAAAAAATTTAAGTTAAAATTATCAAATTTCTAATTTTTTAAAGCTCTTATTTTAAGTTTTACTTTTAAAGAAATTTTAAAACTCAAAAAATTGGTCCAAAAATAACCTTAGTTTATTTTATTAAAAAAAGTTTATGTTTTTAATTATCAACCTTTAAAAAACACTTAAAAAAAGCGATTTTTTTTTTACATTGAACATAATCAAACATGTTAGTCTAACTCTTTAGAACTTAAAAAAAACTACTTCAAATTAGAAATAAAAATTAAAAAAAATTTAAGTTCATCTGCTAATGTGAATTTCTTATATAAAATTATTAGATTAAATATATTTGTTAGGGTTTATTGAATCTTGAAATTTAAAATTAAAGAGGAAAACAAGATGCAGAAATTAAAAATACGAAAAATGATATTATAAAATCTCTTCTTTTAAAATAAATTCATAGTTTTGAAGTTTATTTTTCTTAAATTTTGTTTAATACAAAGTGATGTCCGAATGAGATAGATCATGGAGCATCAAGCTAGTGATGGGAGCGAAGTTATTGACATCACGTCCATATATTTAATTAATTATTGAGGATGGAATGACAAGCACTTCAAAAAGCCCAATGGCAATGGAATTAGAGGAGGAGATAATGAGCATAAATTAGGGGCCACTAAATGTATAGCTGTTGTTGTTGGGGCATATAGCTTACCTTTCCATAACTCATCCCGCTGTGTCTAGAGAAAAAGAGAAAGGCCCATTTGCTTCTTACATGGCACGTAACAAAATCTCAAGGGTTATTATTATTGAGCAATAAGAGAAATTAGAGTCACTAGTTTATTTTTCTATTAGTTTAATTTAGTGTTGATCAAAATATATTTGAATTTGTATCATAGATGGTCGACTTAGATTTGTGACCAATGTATTTCTTAGGTTTGTGGTTGACATATCTCCTAGATTCGTGACTGATCTCATTTTTAGACACGCGTGATCAACCGATCACGATGCATTGTTTTTGATCAACTGATCATGATACTTTGTTCCTTGTTAATCAATCATGACACATTGAATTAGGTCGATCGACAAGATATCTGACAAACGATAACATCTTGTAAACAAGGTTTGGTTTATGATTCAATTAGTCTCTTTGTCTTTTAGATTCTAAATTAGGGATTGTGTGCCCTCTTAGGCCCATGGTCAACTTATCTAGCTACTAGGTTCATGGCCGATCTATCTTGTAGGCCTATGGCAGAACGACGACAACTAAAGGCCAACCATCTTAATAACTATCAATACACAATGTATCTACACCTTTCACGTTTATGAACTTGACTCATAAAACTACCAGATAATATACTTATTGTACTATTATAGGTCAAAGATTGATCAATCATATTTATGTCAATCACTATATGTCGCCTGATGCCAACTGATTTTGTCTTAAAAATTGGAATCGATTGGTGTGTCATGCCCATAATAATAACTCACTTAATGTACCATATATAGAATATAAATCATCATTTGATAGAAATAAGTATATTAGAGATATGCAAAATTCAAGATAAAAAGAAATGATAAAATCATGATAAGAAAATAAGTCAAAGATTAGGCTAAAACATTCTTATTGATTTTAAAGGAGAGACATGTTTCCAAGGAAAGAGAACATTCATTGTATAGAAACAAAATACATCTAAGGAGAATAGAAAAAGGAGAATTATTGAGTCATCTTTGTGATCAAAACATAATTAATTACGTTTTTACTCCTCTATTAAAAAAAATGCTAACTTGCTGGAAACCGTTAAAATTACTTACTCATTTAATTCAAGTTCCAAGCTCATAAAGTCGGATACATACATGATTATGAAGGCATAGAATGTTGAAACTATGGAAGTGAAAGGATAACAAGACACATAACTGCACATGACTTTGTACATTTAATCATGTCGACGGAGACAAATTAAGGAGAAGAAAATGAACATCATATGTCGAAAAGAAGAAAGATGAATTGAAGGCGTAGATATAACTAGACTAGACGACTTGAGTGGCACCACTAGCGATGACATGATGGTGAGTGGTATCATCTTTGTAGATGCTAAGTTTCTCTCCATCACCCCACAACGCATAGGCCTCTTCCCCATGAACCGCATCATCCCCAATGAGAAGCTCTTCCTCGGTCATTCTCAACGGAACGATGTAACTTATAACCACACAAATGATTGAAGTGGCGACGAGGTTCCAACCAATGATGAACAAGCCTCCCACGATTTGTTTAAGGACTTGGACTCCACCAGAGCCTCCATAGACTGCACCTTTGGAGTTGGTGACGGGTAGAAAGAGCACCTTTGGAGTTGGTGACGGGTACAAAGAGTGTACTTAGACGTGGCTCCGCAAATATGCCAGTGAGTATGCCTCCAAGAAGACCAGCCACAGCGTGAGTGTGGAACACGGCGAGGGTGTCATCAACCATTTCAAAGACTTTCAACTTTTTGCCTAATACCATCATGCTGAACCATGGGACACTGCCTGAAAGCACTCCCATTATTATGGCTGCCCATCCTTGAACCAAACCTGTTCAGTGTTCACAAACATCCAATGTTAACAACACCTACTTGAACCATAAAATTGTATGATTAACCAATAACAATAAATCAAGACTTGATCCATATTCCATACATATTATTAGACAAGTGTATCAGACATAAAATTAGACTTGGGTTTACATAACGAAATTTTAATAATCACTATTCTACTAAAATGATCAAGTTAATATTGGAATCTGAGTACAGATTGCATGTTGAAATTATAAACTTGCAATAACTTATTAGATTTGAACTCACATTCTTTCAAATTATATAAACTAGCAAATGTTATACGATGAGTGTCCTCTTAATTAAGAAAATCAAAATAAAAATGTTTATATTATTACAAACATAAAATATATATTTATATCTATTGTTAAAATAATTAAATATGTAATTGCGCGAATTAAATACTTCCATTTCTTAGTCAACGCCTTTCGTTAGCATGACTTCAAATAATTTAGGGATTTGGTCTTTGATAGTATGTATAAATAATGCAGTATCTGTTTGTTTCCGCTAAAATGTTGAATGTTTCATGCTTCAATATTTTGAGTAAAGTCATGAAGATATTACTACTAGTATATAATAATATATCTTTCTCGTACATTAATGTTGAATGATTAATTTGAATTTATTCTTCAAATTAATTTATCTTTCCACAAATGCGTGCAACCCGACATAGGAGGAAATGGTAATCAAGACAATTTAAAAGCATTTAAGGAATCAGTTTATTAAGCATTCAACTCTATTCAGATTTCAGATACCAAGGTCAATCGTGGAATCTCCCAGCTAGCTAGTTTCATACCCAGAATCAGAAATTTATAAATTAATAGATTCTTTGGGATCATTAGGGTTCCTATGGCACCGTGAAAGACGATGGACGCAAGAGAAATTAATGGAGTATTCGATGTGACCGATATCATTTATAGCCGAAAATCATGTTTGGGAATTCTATACATGGAGGGTAAAGTAAAATTCTCCATTCGAATTCCTAATGTAACTGTATATCATATATATTTCAGTCTCGATCAAACACAAAATTCTTAATTAAATTAGAAGTCAACATCGGGTTACTAATGAATTAGTTTATTATTCAATGGCGTTAAAATGAAGAAATTGTCATAAGTTTAATTTAAAAATTGATTAGAATAAATAAAAAAAAAAAAGATTTGTTACAGAAAATTAAGTCTGGTTTAGAAAAGTTTACATTTGGATGTAAAGAAGTTGCGATATGTGTGTGATGTATATGAAGAATTTAAGATGATAGAAGAGAAAGTACGTACCAGCTCCAGGAGTGATGCAAACAAGGCCAGTTATCATGCCCTGAACGGCTCCAATAACGGAGGGTTTTTTGAAGAAAATAACGTCGAGCCAGGTCCAGACAAGGATGCTGGTGGCGGCGCAAATGTTGGTGTTAAGCACAGCCATAGAGGAGTCGGTGTTGGCGGCGTAGGGATCTCCGCCGTTGAAACCGGCCCATCCCATCCAGAGGAGGCCGGCCCCGGCCAACGTGAGTAGGACGTTGTTTGGGGGGAATCTCTCTCTGTCCTTCTTGGATCTTGGGCCGACCCAATAAGCAGCAGTGAAGCCAGCAATCCCAGAAGAAAGATGAATGACATAGCCACCAGAGTAATCCATAACACCCCAATGGAAGAGGAAACCCCCACCCCACAAGCTGAAGGCGCCAACGGTGTAAGAAAAGGTGAGCCAAAGCGGCACGAACATCATCCAAGCCTTGAAGCTCATCCTAGCCAAGACCGACCCCGCCAAGATAACGAGCGAAATGGCCGCAAAAACGCACTGAAACCACACCATGGTCGCCATCGGGTAGAAGGGCTCAATCTCCGCCGTCTCCAGCTCGCCGTTGCTGAAGTGATGCGGCGTGGCGGGCAGGGCGGCCTGCTTGAGCAAAAACTTCTGGCCCAAGGCGGGCCCGGCTTTGCCCCAAAAGGGCAGGAGCTTCTCCCCGAAGGACATCTTGTAGGCCCACGTCACCCAACAGATGACCACCGCCGCGAAGGCGTAGAGGGCCATGAAGGCCGAGTTCACGGCCCATTTCTTCTTCACGATGCTTCCGTACAGGATGACCAGCCCCGGCATGCTTTGGATTCCGACCAGCGTGGCCGCCACCATTTGCCATGCGTTGTCTCCTTTGTTCAGCCAATCTGGGACTGCCAGACTTGTCCATGCTTCGTATGCCACTGCCAACGAATTCACCGGAGGACTACTCATCGCCACCTTATTTTCACTCCGATACCATTGCTAACTCATTATATAAAACGTGCTTACGTTTTTTAATTGCATGCCATGTAAAACCTATTCATCCTTCAACAGTATTTTCTTTTTTTCTTTTTTTAAAGCTAATACAATCACATTCTTTCCATTAAAATAATATTTCCAAACTACTAAATTGACCATCTTTATAATTTTTTCTATTTATACCAAAAATATGAGAAATTTCATTATGAATATTTTCAAAGTCAAACAAAATATAATTTTTAATTAAAGAATGAATTAACAAATTATTTTCTCTTTTAAGAAAATATCTCATAATCTATTTGATTTGATTAACAATACATTTTTTTTTTGTTCGTCCTTAGAGTATCCACGTGACGAATCTCTTCGCTACGTTGGAGGCACCTCAAAAGGTGCTGCATACACAAGGTAGGATTCGAACGCCTGACCTTGCTTAAGCGTGGATCAACCCCTACCGCTGAACCACACGCTTGGGGTTGATTAACAACACATTTAAAAATATGTTCTTTATTATTAAGAATTTGACATAATAATTATATTATAAAATTAGTAATTGTAGAACTAATTAAAAATATACAATATAACACTTATTTCATTCCTTAACAAGCTCTAATCCATGTGATATATACCTTCCTCAATAATAAAAAATTAAGAAAAAAAATTGTATCACAATTGTAATTTAATTTATTTAATGAAAAAGAAATCCACACATTTAAGACAGGTTTTGTAACTGTACAAAATTCATTCATTGATCATCAACGTCCAACATTTTATTAGTGAGATAATTTTTATAAGATCAGTTTGTTGCTAATCAATGCTCAACAACTTCATAATTTTCTTAGTGAGAGAAGACCTAGGTCAATTAATTGAATAAAATATGTTAATTGTTATAAAACTTGGTAAAAAAAACAAAAAAACAAAAACGAAAGAGTCTCGATGTAATGTGCAAAAATTCTTGCAATTGGCAATGATATAATTTTAAAAATTTTATACCAGAATTACGTATTTGTTTTGTCTCATTTTTTTAATCATATTTTCTTCTCCTTACTTTTTATCTCTTTGTCGCTCGATATGCATGCACTTTGTTAAGCTGTGAAAAGAAAAATACTTTCCTTTTGATTGGAATACTATAGAATATTGTTAGTGATAATGAAAGTGGCACAAATTTTAAAAAAAAACTTAAATATATAATGAAAATAAAACCCAAATATACAAATTTGTTAAATAGTTATAATATTTTAAATTGTATGAACAATTTGGTAATTATATATATACATATATTAAGAAGAAGATGGGAAAAAAAAAAAAAAAAAACGTGTCCCCAAATGTGAGAAGTAGATCCCTCCCTGAATAAGATATAGATTCATTCTAAAGAAAAAGGTTAGCGGAAAAGGCTGACAATTGGGGGTTGTTGATGAGAACGGTACGTGTTGTCGTATTAGCCACCTTGCCAATTGCCACAAACCAGACCTACTCATATTTTTTATATCATTTTTAAATAACAGAAATAATTAATTGTTTTTAAATTCTTATAAATATAGTTTAATTTAATTTCTTAAAATATGTATATATTGATCGTGATTGCTTTAAGTTTTTTTAAAGTAATCTCTATTAATGATTATTGATGTTACGACATTATACTGCGTCATTTGAAGTAACATTTAATATAATATATTTAAATACATTTTTATTTAATTATAAGAATTAATTTATAATAATTATTTGTTATTTAATATAAAATTTAATTTATATTAATTTACATATTAATTAGTTTTAAAATAAAATATTTCTAATTAAAGTATATTCTTTTTTATAAAATGCATTAATTATAAACTCCTTAAAAAAATTAAATTCTAATCAAAGAAAGATGAGTATAAAAATTAATTAAGAAAAATAAATAGTATAAAAGTAGTTTTAGAAGAAAAAAATTAGTATATAATTGAGACAAATTTATTATTATCAATTAAATTAACTATTTTTCTTAATTTTAATAAATTAGGTAATTAAATCTTATATATAGGAAAGGAGATGGTACATTATTAATAAAATTATTTTAATCATATTTATGTAAATTATAAACAATTTTAATCCTATTTAAATTTATATAAATTATAAACATATTTTATTTTAATAAAAAATGTACACCTTTCAGTTTTTTTGTTTTGTCTTTTATTTTCTCTAATCTTCATATATATTGTATGTAATATGTAATAATAATGTAATTGTTGTAAAAAAAAAATGTAATGATGGAAGAGTACAAACTGCAAATTATCCTTGTACCGGAAGGACCCTATCGGTCACGCGGACCAACACGTGACTTGCCGTCAGACACCCATGCAAGGTGAATAACCCTAAAAGCCTTAACATTAGCACCGGCTCGGGTTACAGCCGAAAGTATGTTATGAGTCGGATAGCGCGATCAGCTCGGTGTGAGATCGATACGAACCAAACTGTGGGCTTCGCAAGACATACACCGGCTCAGACAGAAGCCGATCAAGTATAACAGCACAGTAAACATATGACGACTCGGCCGAAGGCCGGGCCGAAAGGCGCAGCAAACGTGTAAACGGCATGGCCCAAGGCCGAGCCGAGGGACGAGATAATAATTATAGCCTCCACCATGATTAATGAGGATAAGTACGTGATTAAAGCATAATAAGCCTATTAGCGGCGTATTACCTAATTTGGTAAACTTCAGGAGAGACCCACTACTGACAAGGCCCATCAGTGGTAGTATAAATAGGTCACTTTTGTCAAGGTATGTCACTATTTATTAATTACCCTAGAATATCGTGTTCAAGGACGGAGCCAAGGGGGGACCTACGGGTGCCACGGCCAACCTGGAGACTGGTAATTATAAGTGGATGATTAGAAATACAATTTTGGTCACTTCAACAAGTTATACATGTTTACTTCCTCATTTTTTTTTTTTTTTGTGTTTTCTTATCTAGGGTATTTAGCTTTTTGCTCA